ACACACAGACACACACACACACACACACGTGTGCACGCTTTTTAAAAATATTGTTTTATCTGAATCATACTAATATATTTTTATTTAAATTAGAAACAAGCTTGTTTACATGTCAATCCCAGTTCCCTCTCCCTCCCCTGCCCGCCCCCACTCCCCTATTCCCATCCTCTTTCTGCTCCCCAAGAAGGGTGAGGCCTTCTATGGGGAATCTTCAAAGGCTATCATCATTTGAGACAGGGCCTAGGCCCTCCCCGGTGTGTGTAGGCAGAGAGAGTATCCCTCTATGTTCAATGGGCTCCCAAAGTCCATTCATATACTAGGGATAAATACTGATCTACTGCCAGAGGCCTGTAGACTGCCCAGTCCTCCAAACTGACACCCATGTTCAGAGGGTCTGGATCAGTCAGTCCTATGCTGGTTTCCCAGCTATCAGTCTGGGTTCCATGAGCTCCCCCTTGTTCAGGTCAGCTGTTTCTGTGGATTTCTCTAGCCTGGTCTTGACCATTGCTCATCACTCCTCCCTCTCTGCAACTGGATTCCAGGAGTTCGGCTCAGACACATACACTTTTTTTTTTTTTAACAAAGTTGGAATAGGAAACAATTTCTTTGGTCTGATCAAAAGGAGTTATGAAAAGCCTATTGAAACATAGGCACTCAAAGCATTCTCTAACGGAACCTACAACTAATATTTCTATATAACCTTGTCTGAAGGTACAGGCTGTGCAATAAGATGAAAAATATAATGGACAGGAAAGTTCTGAAAGTTCTCTTTGTGTGAAAGAGCAGAGTAATATACCTATTCTAAAGTAACATTAAGATAACATAATACATTTACCAAAATGGTTAGCTAAACTGGTATATCCAGAAATGCAGAACAATAGGAACTGCACTCTCATGCTCTAGAGCACTCATGCCCTGCTGGGAAATTAGTACACATAACTGTATCTGTAACACACAGGGGAATACACACAGATACAACTTTGGAAAGATATTATCAAATACATGCTATGACCCAAATATTCTATTCCTAAGTAGATATAGAACAGAAATAGATGGGCTTAAAAACAACAGTATATGCTTATAATCTAAGCATTAGGAAGATGATGAATTCAAGGCTACCCTGGGCTACGGAACAAAAACCTATATTTAAAACAAAACCCAACCAAGCAAGCGAACAAATACCCAAATCCATAAATGCCCCAAATCAGTATTATAGACAGAAAATTTGTATACTAATTAAATGGAATATTAGCAATAATAGGAACAATTTTCTCAAAGATAGTATTTGAAAAACAGCAGTCATGGACAGCATTAAGTTTACATATCATTTATTTAGAATGAAAAATCTGTTTCTTTGCCTATTCTTTTCCTCAACCAAAAAGATCTCATATCACACATCTCATAGAAATGATAATTCAAGCAGGAAATTAAAGGCCAAGGTTTACTTTTCTATCAAGATACCATTTATCTACCATAGAAGATTTCCATATGAGTGAATTGAAGCAAGAATAAAATGTTTATAGCATAATGATAAATGGTCTAATGAGTAGCAAATTTTTTTGTAAGTTGCAGTCCAATACTGAATAGGAAGGATTTTAGCCATGCTTTTCTGTGCCCAGTGAAATAACACATTGTGCTGGTTGATACTTGTCAACTTGACACAAACCTAGATGTGCCTGGGAAGAGAGAATACTGAGAAAATTCTTCCAGAAGGCTGGCTCGTAGGAAAGTCTTTGGGGATATTTCCTTAATTAGTGGTTGATATGGGAGGCCATAGCTCACTGTGGGCAGTAGTTCCACCCCTAACTTGTTTCTCTGGGTGGTATATGAAAGCAGGCTGAGTAAGCTATAGGGAGCAAGCCAGTAAGCAGCATTTTCCCATGGCTTTTGCTTCAGTTTCTGCCTCCAGGTTTCTGCCTTGAGTTTCTGTCCTGACTTCCTCCCAAGATGGGTATGACCCAAAAGTTGTAAGACAAAATTAAACCTTTTCCTCCCTGTGTTGTTTTTGTTCATGTAGTTTTGATCACAGCAATAGAGACCCTAACTAGGACACATACCAAGAAGATTACACTGTACCCAGATGTCTAAAATACAAGTGCTCATGATAATTTTCTACCAGGTGTACAGTTGTTCACACTGCTCTCAATTCCATAACTCAGTAACTGCACTTTGTCATCTTTATATGAGTGTGAGCAGTGTGTCAAACAACACATTAGATGCTTTTTTACCTACTCTTTTACATGGTCTTCTCAATAGTCACATAATGGAAGTTTTATTCTCTTTTACAGATTTAAAAACAAAACCAAGCAGATTCCCCAGGCCAGTCATCAGGCCATGATTAAAATCTGTTCCTCACTGATGATCAGTCCCATGATTTGAAACACCAGTTGAAGTGCTACACGGGAATTAATGCATTTACAATGTAAAGAAGTACTCATCCAGGGACGTGAAACTGTAAGTGTAAGATCCGAATACATTTGTCCTGGAGAGTTGCTGTTTCCCTTCCTGAGCCCATTCCTTTTGAGTCCCACTGCTCTAGGAAAACACACACATACACACACACACACACACACACACACACACACAACACACACACACAGGAACACAAAAATAAACCAAATATCAAGAGCAAAATAACACTGATACCTGTATTTATGTCAACAAAAGATCCAAGGAATGCTTCAGAACTTGTCTGGTTCCTTCTCTTACAGTCAGAATAAAGGAGGAGAGGACAACATTTAGATTTGCTGGGAATTTGGGGGTAAAACAGATTAAAGGGATTGCAAAACATACACTGACCTATAAGTCAGAGGACACCTGACCATGCTCCCCTGCATCTTTTCCTTACCCTCTGTTTGAAAGGGCACACATCTTAGTCAGGAGCCTCAGCATCCAGGAGGCAGCTGCCTGTTCTTGCCCAGAGGGGAGACCTGTTATCATGACTGCCTCTGTGCTGGCCTGGTGAAATGTGTTCTTTTGGAGATAATAGCTACAATTTCGAAATAAATCTGTACTTCCACAGGCTGAAGAAGAATTTGAGCTACTGCTCCCTGCTGCAGCACAGGAGCTAATAAAACCTTGAACCCATTACTCATGTATCAGAAAAAAGAGGGCTTTATTGAAGATCAAATTAAAAAGTATAACTACTGAGTGAGGCGGCACTGGAAGTTCCAGAGTCCTTTATTGCATATATTGCTTTTAATGATATTTGAGATTAAAGCTCAGAAAGAATCAGCTTGCACAAAAATGACAGGCCTGATTTCTCTCTATTTGCTGATTTTGAGTATCCACAGCTTCATTCTGAGCAAGATACCTGCCCTTTCTTCAGTGTACTTCTCATGCTGGTTTGTCTGTAACCCTCAACATATGGACTTTAGAAACAACTCCTCAGACCTTTTTGGCATTTAGTATGCATATCCCCTGTCCCTAGGAAGTAAAGAAATCTGATTGCCCACAGTGTACTCACTGCTGAGAGACAAAAACAAACTGGTATTTGTAAAATGATTTATGTTGCAGGGCTGATAATTGAATGTTCTACTTCTCAAGTTTAAAGAAAAGAGAAGCGATGTCTACAATTTCTATAATTGACCTATTCTAGATTTTCTGTGTGCAGTACCAAAGGAAAGCCTATATGGATATCTCATGGTACCTCAGACTCCGAGACACTGAAGTATTTCAAAGGTAACTTAATGTTATGTCCGTTGTCTCCTGGCAGTTTCTTCCTTTGCTTGCTTCCTTTTGACTTCCTCTAGGATGGCATTTTAGACTATTGTGGAGGGTGTCTCAAGTCTCACAGGGACTGGAGGAGTAAATCTAAGATTCATATATGAAAGTTCTGTGTTGACTTTTAGATCCTCTGTGACAAGATGCTTTTGGGGACTCAATTCCTGGACTCCTCTTTGACAATTTTATTGATTAAGGAGTGTTTCAAATTCTCTCTTAATATTCAGGCTTGTTGGTAAATCTTATCCAGAACTGCTCAGTCTCAGCCAGCTGGGTTCTGCTTCCCTGCAACCAGATCTTTGCAGGTCTCCTAACTCCTCCCACAAACACACCATGCAGGTCTAATAGCTCAGCCTAGCTGTCTTCCTTACACCCCTAACCTCATTCTGCACCACAGAGAATGCAAAATTCTGGGTCTTTCTCATACTCTGGAGATGAGGAAGTCATTCATAGGTAACTCAGGACTCATAAACAAGCCAGCTCTTCCCACCAACTCTATTGTGATTCAGGATAGAGTTCTGTAAGGCCATGACTTTTCAAAGATCTGAATGGAAAGAGGGTTTTTGAAAAGACCTTGGAATTGGCAGGACACCCTGTAAAGAGAATGTCTGAGGCTAAACATTCACTCCTCCTCTCTCCCCCTTTTTCAGTTCAGTTGGCTGGTGAGGCAGTGTCACCCTCATCTGTACAGACACAATTTATGTTTTGTGAAATTTCTCTGCTATTGGAAAGCTGATATTGAAATAGTATGTCCTAATTCCTAATGATATATAGGGGCTTAAAAATTAGAAATGTGTTTTGTTTTTCCCAATGCTTGCCTTCTAGGAATGTAATCATAAAAATATGATTCAAAGTCCATCCCATGTTCGGTCAATTGTTGAGTTCTCAGCTGCTTTCTTTTCTGTTTTTACTTTCCACCTTTATGCAGATGTCTATTTCTGAATAACTAGTTTCATGTACATAAGTTTTTTTAAAAAGTGTACATTATAGGATTTACTGTATTTTGACCTATTTGTCATATCTTGTACTTAAAATTGCACATGTAGATTTGGATTTTGTTTGATACTGTTTTTGCATGTTTACATATGTGTATGTGCAGGTTGTATGTATCAAGTGCAGGTATGTGTGGAGTTCAGAAGACTCTCTTAGGAATGCCATTCACTTCCTTCGAGACAGGGTCTATTATTAGCTCAGTGCTCACCAACTTGGCTAAACTGGCTGATCAGCTAGTCCCAGAAATTCTCTGGTATCTGGTCTCTGCTACCCCAGAATACCATTATGCCCAATATCTTCATGTGAGTTTTAATGATCAATCTCAGGTTCTCATGCTTGTAAGACAGGCACTTTGTAGACTGAACCATTCTCCCCGCTTCTGTTACACTTTTAAGATACATTATCTCATTGTAAGTTTATAAACCACAATGGAAACAGCAAAAAAGTAGCATATGACACAGCATAGACAACCAGAAACAGAGTTAATTGAATTGCTGGAATTGTTTTCTCTCTGATAATCTGGTGTAGGATATGCAAATAAGTTCCTTCCTGTTAAGATTTCTTAGAGCTTTCAGTGACAGAACACAGGTTTTTTGTGCAAATGTCTGAGATGTGGACTCCATTTTAAGAAGTCATGAAGATTTAAGCTAGGCATAGTGACACAGCTACTCAGTGGCTGAGGGAGGAGGATCACAAACTCAAAGGCTGTCTGGATTACAGAGTGAATCATAGGCCAGACTGGGCAACTTAGTAAGACTCTGTCCCAAAATAAAAAGTTAGAGATTGCTGGGTCTACAGCATTAGTGATAGAATGCTTACCTAACATTCATAAGGCCCTGGGTCCAATCCCCAGCAACACACACACACATACACATACACATACACACACACACACACACACACACACACACACACACACACACACACACACACCACACACACACACACACAAAGTCAATTGAGAAATGAAAAAAATCTGTCAACTGATTACAGAAGATCAAACAAACAAACAAAAAGGCAGTTGCTCTATCATCCTAAAATCAATAGAAATCAAACATTGTTACTCTCATGGAATATTTTAGAAAAGACTTGGGAGAACAACAATAACAAAGAAACAGCCTAGGAACAAAGGGCCATGCACTGACGTTCCAGGTAATGGTTTTGGTGATTCACTAATGATACATACATCTTACTGTGCCCAGATGACACTATTCTGCCCTTTCTCATAGAAGCATCAAGTCAACTCAATTCGTCTATAGGCTTCTGAAAGAACAGTGACCCAAAATTAAACAGCAAAATATTGTCACACCGATAAAGATTACAACCCTAAATTGTCTTGAATGCTATGTCTGTGTATAGAAAAGAGAATCAATACTGCCAAATATTAGAGAATATGTACAGATAATATGCACCACAGTGCTACTTGTTTTGTGTTTGGCTGTCTCTGTTTTTCAAGCAAGTGTGGACTGCCTCTTAGTGAGTGGGTACCACTGTATTTATGAAAGTTAGACAATTCACACACTGTCAAAGTGTTCTATTTGCCTCTGTGATTGGTTGATTATAGGATGACCATCTTTCACATCTCCCAAAAGTCCATCATATGCTCTATTTCTCTGTCTTTTTGCCTTGACTTTTTGAATGACTTTCTCAGATCTATTCTCTAACTTATTCAGTATGTCTTTAGTAGGACCTGATCTTTTGTTTAATCCACCTAGTCAATTATTTTATTTCAATGGCCATCTATATTGATTCTTTTAAGTACTATTCTTACTTTTACTTAATGATTTGCAATTACATTTTATCTTTAATATTATGAATGTATTTATTTAATGTATATCTTTAAGACTGACATCATTACTTAATGTAAAATTTTACTATTTGTGTATTCACTCACTTTCTCTTAAGATTGTTTAGCTGTGACATTTGTCATTTTTAATGATTAACTGAAAATTATGAAAATTAAAAACTAAAGTCTAAAAATTTAGAGAAAATGATGCAGAGAATGGAGCATTGATTTAAATAATTTTAAGACATTTGTGTTAGTTTCTTTGGGAGGAAGACAATTAAATGTTTAATCTTTAACTTTTTAATTAAGTTAAATTAAGTTCATGTATTATAAATTTGAGGTTAACCAATAAAAAGTATCAATTGAATATACAATCTAAAAACCACTGAAGGAAAATAATACATTATGAAAAATCAAAAAAACTAATAGAGATATCGGAATCAAACCACAGATAGATGTATAGTAAATATAAAACATGAAACCAAACATGCCAATACTCACAGTACTTACTGCACACATTAAGATCATCATTAAAAGTAAAAGTTGGTTAGAAAATATTTGAAAGAAAAGTACAGCATTGTAGAACCGACAAATGATTCATTTAAAGCAGAACAGCACCAACAGACTAGAGAACAAGAGAGCAGACTGTTAATAATGGAAGGGATTAAAGCCAGTTTAGTCAGCCACTGGATGTAGCTCAGATGGTAGAATGCTTGCCTTGTATGCACACATCTCTGGGTTCAGTCTCCAGCAGCATGTATAAGCCTATTAGCACATATTTATAATTCCGGGTCTAGGGAGGTAGAGGAAAGATGATAAGGGTTCAACGTCATCTTCAGCTACAAAGTGAGCTACACATGAGACTGTCTAGAAAAACAAACAAACAAACAAACAAACCATCTTTACTCCTATGATAGAATACAATATGGCAGCTAAGAGGCTAGGATCAAATGGTCTCTCCTTAACTTATGTCTACACACCTATACTAATTTATATACAGCTTAATCAGTCAGCATATCTTTTGAAAATGATACTAAATATAAAATATACAGAGGAATATTTTCAGCATGGTAGTATCTGCAGAGGGCTTAAAATACGTGTAAAGCATTACTAAGTGTTGGTCATGGGTATAGACTTGAGAAAATTTTAAACTACAAAGAATTGACGGATTCATATAGAATTCAGTGTAATGATTGACTTGTCTAATTCTGCCAAAAAAGAATGAAAGAGGGAAGAACACAGTAACAAATACAGAAGCAGCTCTGTTTACTCATCGCCTTCATGCTGAGAGTCCAGAGACTGACTACTGTTTGCCACAGCTCATCTATTAGGGGATGTTTGAGCACTGACTATTTCTGTTCCGCAGTCACCCTTCAAGGGGCAGAAAGCAAGTGCTACAACAGCTGTGTATATGTTTGTTTTCTTTGGGGCAGAAAGATGAAAAATAAAACCACAAAAAAGTCTAAATCACAGGTTTTTTTTTTCCACTTATGTAAGGGTTACAAAGGCATGTGCACACTGTTTTCTTTTACATGCAAAATAAAGCACTGCATTTTCATATCAGTAGTTCATATTTAATCACTTATATTTCATTAAAAAAACTATATTGGCTTACCACTTGCAATATGAAAGCACTGGGAATTCAAACTCAGGCCCTCATGCCCACAGAGCAAGCTCTCTGCCCAAACGAAATTATCCTTCAGATTGAGGGAATTCATAGCCAGTAGATGTTCTGCAAGAAATGTTAAAGAGAAATTCATCAAAAAGAAGGAAAATGATACGCCAGAAATTTGGTTCCTAGGCAAAGTAATAAAGGATTAGAGTAGGAATAGATGAAGGTAAAAATATGTCACTGACTGAAGGGACTACTCAAAAATCATCTTGTATGTTTTAATTCACTATTCCTAATCATGAATAGTAATGACAAAATTTTCTGTTTTATTTTTTTGAAACAAGGTTTCTCTGTATAGCCTTTGCTGTCCTGAAACTTTGCTCTGTAGACCAGGCTGGCCTAGAACTCACAGAGATCCACTTGCTTCTGCCTCCTAAGTGCTAGGATTAAAGGTGTGCATCACCACTGCCAGACTAATTTTCTATTCTTTTAAAAGATTTATATTTTCTTCTTTTATGTCTTTTGTGTGATGCCTCAATGAATTGCACTAGGGTTGGATAAAGGGCC